TCGAGTACTGTTGAAGTTAAGTGACTTGCCCAGGAAGTCTGCATGGGTGAGAGGAAGGACCCAAACCTAGATCTTTCTGATTCAGAGCCCAACTCTCTGATTGTTAAGCCATACTCTCTAACCACTAATTGGGGGAGGGGTAGGCTGATCTGTCTCTTTTACATGTCCTAAGGCTTCTTATGTTCCCACCGCCTTCAGAATTAAACTGAAGCCTATTCAGCAACAAGATGGTGCCCAGCTAGGCTTTCCATTGATTTATCAGGCTGTCCACCAGAAAAGAAGATAGAGGTATTATGTTTTCACTCTTTTCGGCACCTTCTTTGTTTACCTCATTACTTTTTATTAGTCTAACATCTTTTTTCCGAAAAGAACCATAAATGCGGGCTAGAAAGTTCTTTCAAGTGTCTCCCACTACAACCTAATTAGTATACCCTATCATAGCAGCAGCTCATAAAACAACAGAAAAGTTTTTTTTTTTAAATCAATTATAAGGTTGATGTCTCTTTTGACTTTCTTTGGTGGGCCTGTCCATTTTGATGGCTTAGGGGAGAAGGGAATTTTCCAGTGTGTCCTGGAAGACAGTCACAAATCCTAGTCTCTTTGTTGCACTGACCTCCATTTTCAAAGTTCCTGCAGGAGAGTTGGTACTCAGCTCCCCAGAGCCTTTGGGAGCAGTCTTGAAAAATAAAAAGAAAGGTAAAAGGAGTGCAAATTTGTGTTATAATCTCAAGATAAGCACAAATTTCTGCTATGGCTTGAGGGAATTGGAAGATATACATACACACACACATATACACATAGCAACAAGTAAAATAATATATGGTAATAGGTATATATGTTTATATAACACCATAAATGCATGTGCATCTCAGCATGTTGAAATCTGAGGAGGGAAGAAAAAACATTCTTGCAATCTCTAAGGATTTCTAGCTTTTCCCTTCCAAATTCCCTGCAGAAATCAACATGCTACTATATCTTGTCACTTTGGAAAAACAGATACAGAAACTGATATTTTTTGCTGAAAATACCTTTTAAAAAAGTGGTTTCTTAACACTACCAATGGAAACAATTTTGATAGCTATCTCAGGGAAGACTTGAATAGAAGAACTTAAAATCTAATTTAATTTGGGACAGAAGCTCAGGAAACAATTTGGGAAGTGGCCCCAGGGTAGTGGGGTGGCTGGCTATGGGATTGTTTTACTGGTCCTGGTTGCTTTTGAGAGTTCAGGGGGTCCTCAGACCCTAGAGACTGCCACCATAAAATGATATCTGTGATAGGATCATTAAATATAGGTGCCTTGGGCAGAGAAATGATGGGCTGCCAGACTGGATGGTTCTTTCTGTCATGAATTAACAGGAGATGGAAGAGATGAAAGGGAAATCAGAGGCCATGTAGTTCAGACTACCCATCGTTTTACATACAAGGAAATTGAGACCAATCAACTGGGTTTTCTGTCGTTATTGCTATTTTTATAACCAACATCTTCACCTGAATTAGAATCCCAATGGAAGCAATTCCTAGGTGGGGAAAGATGGCAGTAAGGGAGCCTCGAGCCAACAAAATCCTTTGGTGATGGACCTTAGCTATACATGCTTCCAAATAAATCTAATTATGCTACGTCCAGCCCTGCCCATTCAGTATCTCTCCAAAACTTAACTGGCTTTTCAGAAAAGGGCCCCCCAATTCTGTACGTGAAATGCGCAGAGCTCCCAAGCTGAGCAGCATGAGACCCACCTTCATCTAAGGAAAGTCCAACTTTGCCATCCTGATGTTGACATTGGACTGTCCCTGTATCACAAGGTGCCCGTCTGCAGCCACAGTTTTGATTACAGTCAGCCCAAAATATCCTGGGCTACATGCTGTGGCAAACAAGGCCAGGCCATTGATTGTTTTTTTGTCATCTAATAGATAGGTGGAGGAAACAGGATATTCTGCTGTTCAAAGTAATTTGTGACAGCGCTTACCAACCCGAGTGGTGCTGATGGAAAGCTCTGTTTCATTAGTGTCCCTGAAACAATTTGAGATCTTTAATTAACAATACGTGAGAGGGAGAGACACCGGTTTCTACCTTCAGAATTTTAGAGGGATCTCTGAGGCTTAGAATGATAAGGTTATTTTATTTCTTAAAAAATGCATATAACCCCCAAGAAAACAGCAAGACCTGGTTTTCATCAGGTAAAAACTCTTCAATAGCCCCTTTCTCCTTGATTTCAGCTGCCAATCATGGCTGACTCATTCACTAGTGCCAGTCTTATTTATAATTTCATTTTGTGGTGAGACAAAAATATCAGAATTGGGCAAAGTTATCTGATTGAAAAATAATATGTTTTCCAGAGATTACAGTGACCTCTCTACTTGGCTGATTTACATAGACCTTCAACTTCTTTTCTATCACAGTGGGAATAGTAGAGGTAGCTTTTAGTCTTGTTTATTCAGCAGCTATTTTAAGGAAATGTTATCAGAATAAATTATATTTACCTAGGGGTATGGTTTCCACCTCCCATCCCTTTTCTTCCAAAGTATGATTTCACCACTGGGAAAACAGTCTCTCATGCCTGGGAACCAATTCCTAGCATTAGAAGGTTAAGTCATTGGTTCAGGGCCTCATAGCAAATGTAGATTCTAAGTGTTAGAAATTTATTTTTTCTAACTTCTCTTCACTGACCTTGTTTTCCCTGTCTCCTTGGAAAAAAAATAGATAAGTTTTGGTTATCAAGTAATATGTACATAAATGTGTGTATGTGTGCATGGTGGCATGTGTATATGGAATGTACACAGAGGCATATTGGGGAGGGATTGCCTGGGGTGACTGAGAAATAAAGTGACTTGCCCAGGGACATACAACCAGTGTGGGTTAGAGACAGTACTTGCAGGCCAAATTGGTTTTTTGTACACTATGCCATCTATATTTATACACTATAAATTTTCTTAGCTAATGATCATACTTCAAATTTAGAGAGCATTCTATGGCTTACAAAACACTTTACATACATAATCCCATTTGAACCTCATAATGATGATGTGGAGTACACATTATTATCCCCATTTTTATGGAAAAGGAGACTGAGGCTCAGAGAGATTAAGTGGTTTTCCTAGAGTTACGCAGCTGATAGGCCTGAAGTGGGATTTGAACCAATTTCTTCCAGGGTTCTATCAATTGTGATTCACCTAAGTGGCACCTGTCTCCATGGAACCCCTGTGGGCATTGCTGTGGGCTTTCTCCAGTTATATGGTCATAGGGCAACTCAGAGCAGGAACATGGCAATTTGCATGCAGGACCATGAACATTTGGTAGGCATTCTTTGGAATCCAGCCAAAGGTTAAATTATTTTAAGAGAGACATGAGTCTCTCATATTATTACGTCTTATTTAAAGACATTCAAGGCAACTTTCAGAAATGAGCCCACAGACTAGACATAGGCCTAAAGGCAGAAATACACTTCCTACTCCCCATTTATCTCCTAAAAGACACTCTGGCTATCTGAAGTTTGAAAAAATTGGCCCCAGTGAATAATAATAATTAATAATAATAACAGCAGCTGTTAACATTCAAGCACCATGTGAAACAATTTACAATAACCATCTTTTTGATCCTTACAACAACACTGGGAGGTGGGGAGCTGTTGTTTTCCCCATTTTATAGATGAGAAAACTAAGGCAAGCAGAAGTTAAATGACTCATACAGGGTCACACTGCTAGTAAGTATCTGAGTTCACACTGGAACTCAGGTCTTTTGGACTCTAGGCTCAGTGTTCTATGCGCCAGGGCTCCACCTAGCTGACATATAAAAGGCAACGCATTAAACCATTTTGGTACAGTTGAAAGTATGCAAGATTTGGAGTTGGGGAACCTGATTTTGAATCCTTAATCTACTATTTATTACCTATGTCACCCTGGGCAACTTATTTAACCTTTCTGGGGCTCAGTTTCCTATTCTGTAAAATGAGAGGGTTGGGCTCCATGGGCTATGAGGTCCCTTCCAGCTCTAAATCCATGATCCTTTGGTTTTATAAATCCCTCCTTTAAAGCCCTTTTCCACACAACATTATAGAAATGCCCCCAGTTCAAGTCTTGCCTCTGACAAATACAGGCTGTGTGACTCTGGGCAGGTCATTTAACCTTGTAGGGTCCCAGATGTTTTTCTAAGACCATTAGTCTTCTTGGAAAAGGGTGTTGCCCTTATACCCAATGAAACCAAGTATCTAGAACCTATTTATGTCTCTAATATACTAGAGGGCATGCTCTCCATGTACAAAGGGATATCCCTCACCCATGAAAAGAAGATGGAAGGAGCATTAGAGATGATTGGGCCAAATCTCCTCTTCTTATGAATGAGACAGGTTAAGTAAATGACTTGGCCAGTCAACGAGGTCAGGATGAAATGATCAAGAACTCAGACTCAGATCCTCTGACTTTCCAAGACCCATTGTTAAAATCAAATTCCGTTGTCCCAGAACACTGCACATGACTTCAGACCATTTTGACTAGTTCTCTGTCCAATATTCTCTATGTACTTTGATCGCAAGGCATTTATGTAACAGATGCATGTTTCAGAAAGAACAATTATCCTGACCATATCATTCTCCTCCTCTAGTTGGAAGTCTGTGACTCAGGTCTGCTGGAATGGACGTTCTTTCCATTAGAGAAATGGTTTTTCAGAGTAACCAGATGGTTACCAGCTCTGGGTTCTCTTAACTACTTAGTATACAATGGAGTGATTGGCTCACCTTAATCTTCTTAGTGTGAGATACCCTGAAATTTGATCTTTCTTGCATTGCTAAGGCTTACTCAGTGCTGCCTAACACCAGAGACTGTGAAGATGAGGGTAATTAGTCCATTTCTCCATGTCCCATTTCTTCACCTGCACATGGGGGATTAATGATGCACACTTACCTCCTGGGGCCACCAGCAAATTAACAAATAAGTGACCATGGGGTGTTTGACAAAATGTAAAGCAATGTTAATACTGAGAAGAAAGGAAGTGGTCATCGGATTATACCTTCCTGGCATCTGTTGCCTTGGTAACCAGATTTGCAGGTGCATGAACCATTTTTGGCATCGCATTCCAGGGTGTTTTCCTCCATACACTGACATTCGGAAGAGCAGCCAGCTCCATAGGCTCCCTTGGGACAGGCTGCAAGCAGATTGAAGCAAATTGGTCACCTGCAAACTCAGTTTTCCCTAGTTTAAATTGTTAGCACACAGGCCTGACGCTCTGCAGTGCCTGATTATAGGGGGAAAAAACAAGGGGATCATCCTATCTGCCAAAAACAATAGGGAAAAATGTCTTTTCAAATCAGGCAATTCATTTTCTTTTTGGCAACCTGATGTGAACAGTGAAGCCGGAACTACTTCAAAAGCTTTAGTGCCACTGGGATTGCAATTCCAGCTCAGCATGCTCAATGGGTGCCTGTCATTAGAATTCTTTAAGGGCAAGGTGGAAAAGCACGGGGCCATATTCATTCCACAGCAGCATGGAGATGATGGACAAGCTTCAGTGGGAAGAGTAGCCATTGTTTGAGTCCCATTCATTATATCGTCATCCAAAGTAATTTTACATACTGTGTATCTCGAAAAGGTATTCTTTGGGATGAAGCATTATCTTGGCCACATCTTGGGTAAACTGAGCTTGTGTTTCCCTCAGTCTTTTTTCCATTGCTGTTGAGTTTCAGGGATAGAAGTCAGCATGAAAGTCCTAATTGGGAAGGGTCCTACCTTTGTATTTGGTAAACACATATTTGGTTCTTTCCCAGAGCAGCTGCTTACCATAATTCAATCCTCTTTCCAAAAGACATCTTGGTATCTATAATATGGTATGAATATGAATGTACTTTCCCTTCATTAATAGGTGAGGGCAGAGGGGGGAGGGAAGAGAATCTCAGCAAATGGAGGCTCTTTCTCCACCCTCAAGGACACCAAATGCCCACATGAGTCTTGGCATATCAAACCAATTTGATAGAAAAGTTGGTAGAGTTAACACTTCATCCTCGCTAATGGAACATTAGAAGAGATAACACAAAAAGACAGTTGAGATGCTATTGTCACCTTTCCCTCCATATTCATTCGGGTGGTATTCTCAAACCCACTAACTTCCAGGATTTTCCCTTCTACTGCTTTCTTCCTTGAATAGAAATTTCCCCCTTTCTGACTATAAGCCAGAGTTGCTCTGCTAGGCCTATTCTCTGACTTTCTCCATGAAATGGAGAAATGATGGAAATCTAGGAAAACATGGAGACTCGGTGGTCAACAGGAAAATCACGGTGTTGTGTTTTGAACAGGGAAGATGAAAGAGCTATCAGGTGGAATATGGTGGAACAGTTTGACCATCCCAAATTATATGATTATTTCGACAAATAATGAAAGACACAGGAGTTGCCTTTACTGGTATTTGTCTCATGACTGAAACATTCAATTCTACATCTTAAAAAATATCTGGTTGTATATGCAATAGCTTGGGGACAGCTTTAGAATGGGAGAGTAAAGGCTGGAACCAGTTCCTTAGCAATGTTTCTAAAAATAACAGACTGAAACATTTTGATTGTGTTTTCCTGAGACCTGAACAAGGTTAGTATTCAGAGCCAATATGCAAAGAGAAGAGATTGACTGGGACCCTATTATGGAAAACTTTCCATCTTTGAAAGCCTTTAATACTTTAAAAAAGTATTTACTTCTAAAGAAGTATTATGAACTTCTTAGAGGAAACTCGATGTATCACAACAACATATAAATATCCTGATCCTGTTTCAGTTACCTCTTCCTATGTTTTTTAGAAATGTAGAGGTGTTATGTGTTACAGAATTGCATAAGCTTTGATTTTGAGAAGACTTCAGTAGTCATCTGATCCTAACCCATACCTGAAGGAAAATCCCCTCTATATTGTTCTGGACAAGTCTTCTTGAAAGAGGTAACAAAAAATCCCAACTACCCAAATATGACACAAAAGTTAACAAAGAAAATTTGCAAGCTATGTAAACATATTTTTGTGCTCATTCACATATTTTCCCATGAGTCCTCCAAAGGAAAATGTTGAAATCATAGATAGGTTTTCATGAAGCATGAGTCAGGTGTTGCTAGAGGAAGTATTAACATTCCCTTGAAGGAAGACCGTACTCAGTTCCATTCTCTATGCTCTATAAGGTATCTGTAAAGGATACCAGAAAATAATCGTCTCAACAATATTTTTCTTGTCTTTGTAAGAAATAAAATGACTATATCCTTTTGGGATGGAACTAAGCACATTCATCTTTCTGAGTCTTTATTTTATGCACGGAGATTGGACAAATAAATGAATGTGACTTACTCAGATGGCAGAACCGACCATAGAGTCCTGGATCACATAGACAAACTCCATAGACCCTGTGGCAATAGCTGTTGTGGGCACACATACATTTCTTTTTGCAATCCTTTCCAAAGAATCCTTTAGGACATCCTAGATGGGGTGAGGACATACAAAGAAAGCATTGGTCTATGTGCAAAATTATATATTTTTTTTTAAATAGAGATGGGTGAAGTGGGTATCTGCATTTGAATACTTCAATACCCTGATGTTTATTGTAATGATGCTAAAATGCTAAAAATCATAATTCATACTTCATAATGTCTTCAGGTTTATAAAGCACTCTTCTCAAAACAAATCTATGAAGTAGGGTCATAATTCCAATTTTTGATAGATGCTTTCGGAGAATGAGAGCACCAGTAGAATTTTAGCTGTTCATACATGGAAAGAACTGGAGAATGAGGGAATCAGGATCAGTCCAGAGGTATGTACATGGGTGAGAGATTATTGACTTTTACCAGCATGTTAATTTTGGGAAGAAATGAATAAAGGAAATAATGGCATTAGGGTGCCTGTGTGTTTCTCTCTGGTTCCTGGACACAACTGAGAGCCCTTGATTGGTCATGCCTTTTTGGGTCTCATATCCACTGTACTCAATGATGTAGAAACTTGATGGGACAATCAGTAGGATCAGTGGTGAGGAGGGTCCAAGAGAGTGTAGATAGCTGGATCCCTGTAACAATGGTACTGAAAGATTTGAGTCCCAAGCATTGAACTTCTAACTTTTCTTAAATGACTGGGTTCTTAAATTACCGAATCTCTTAGATTAGTTTGGGGATGTCTACTTTTGGAGGAAATGTGGAAATTCACAATTAGTGAATGATTTAATATATTTGATTTTATTCATGTTGGTTTATTGATCATGAGAAATGAACTTTAATTTGTCAATCCACACTTGTGTGCTTGACTCCATTATGCCCTGTTCATTTGATTAATATCCCCTGAAATGTAACAATAAAGGGCAGAGTCCAGTCTCCATGTGTATGTGTGGTAGGGGTTCTGAGGACATGAATTAGATAAAGCCATATATATCACATCTCACACTAATCGCATGACACCTGTTATGTAGGATGGGGCAGGCTTGTAGAACAGAGATAGCAAGCTCTTTAAAAAACCAGAGAGTGTTGCTTAGTGTTTCCTTGGTTCTTCCTTTGGCATTCAGTGGAGTGTATTAAAGTGAATTGATACTGTTGGTACCTGGGATCAGATCAGATCAGATAAGTGAGTATTAGCTCTCTCTGTTTGTTAAGTGGATAATGAAATTGTGACTCAAAGATGCTAAATGACTTGTCCAGGTTACATGAGTATTAATGATATGGTGGTTGTCCTTTGTTCTCGAAGAGGAGCAAAATGACATCACTATGTTAGAGTCAAGTTACAATGTGTCTGACTGTGGTTGATCAGACCAATAAAAGCTCAGAACGCTCAGGGCAACAGGTTGGGCACAAGTCGTCTATCACTAGTAATGATACATTCGGGCATTTGAAGAGCATATTATATCCAGGATATAATTTTAGCATCATAACCCTGTAAGTTAGGTATTACAAGTATTACCATATCTTTTTTGGGTTACCTTCTAACTTTTGCATATTTGATTTTTTAAAATATTCATTTGTCTTATTTTTATTTATTTATTTATTATTTTTAATTTATGAACTAAAACAAGCATTTCCATAACATCATAGAATAAAAAAAATGATTGCACATGAAATTTGCAAATGCATTATGTACAACTTGCTATTCCTTTTAAATATATAATAAAATTATCATGTAACTTTCTGGTTTTTTTTTCCTTTTTTTCTTTTCCCCCACCCTAGAGATGGTTACCATTAGACATATATATATAATATATATATGTAAAATTATTCTATATATAGTTTTATTTATCGATTCTTTCTCTGGATGCAGTTAACATCTTCCTTCATAGTTCTTTAGAGCTATACTTCATTCATCTGTAATAGAGCTATGATACAATGATGTCTTGTATTATACCTCTTTTACAGATGAATGAAGTGTGGCTCTAAGGAGCTAAGTTGCCGGCCCACGATCAGTGAATCGGTAACCATTTATTAAGGGCCAGAGGCAAGATTTGAAGTGAGATTTTTCTGATTGTAATTCCAGCACATATCCGTTATGCTATACTGCCCCTGAAAATTAGACTCTGAAAGGTGATTTGACTCGCCATGGCCATACAGCCAGAAAGTGTCTGAGCTGGTTTAGGTCCTCTTGACCACAGCTGGAGCACTCCTTCTATTACATCATCATCCATCAGGTCATTTAAATGGGTTAGATGATTTTTACAAATACAGAGCCCTAATTTCAGATAAAAAGCTGTGTGGTAGAATGCTGAACGAGCCATTCATTAACATGCTTCTTATTAGGAGTATTCAGGTGCCCAAACCGAAATCATCTGCAGTTAAAGACAGGATCCCATACCATCCTCACAGATCTTCCCATGAACTCCAGGGGGACAATGACACTGGCCTGTTACAGGGTCACAGGAACCTCCATTCTGACACTTACAGATACCCTTACACTCTTGTCCATAGGTCCCTGGGGGACAAGCTGTAAAGCAAATGGAGAAGATGAATGAAAAAAAGAGCCCATTCATTGTATCACCAGGGGAGAAAATAATGCTTTCTTGTCATCTTGGTACAATGATACCAGGTAATTAAGAATGAAGCCACTTGTAGAACAGGGAAATGTCATTGTTAGGTTCCTATATTGGATAACATTGTCATTCCTGGGGGACTTGTCATTCCAACTGGATGAAAAATGAGAGCTGAAAGAGCAGGTAATAAGGTTCAAATATAAATTTCACTTTTTTTGGATAAACTTTAATCACAAATTTTTAAAACTATTCTAAGGTCTTTGCTATACAACTTTGGGCCACATTAATGAGATGTAAACTACATGTACTACTCAGAAAATAAAAAGAAAGTGAAAATATATGTATTTTAACTAGCAGCCAATGCAGTGAAGCCTCTCTTGAGAATTCAGAGATGTGTTTGCATTGTCAAAGATTGATGAAGTTAAGCAAACAATCCTGTTTAGAGGAAGCCTTTTAGTACTCCAATGTAAAATAAATTAAAAATAGACCTCCCAACTTATTTTCATCTTAATTTGAAATAATGCAGCTGCTGGGATAATCTTTACTAACCACAATAAATGATATTCATTTTTTTAAAAAAGCCACATTAAAAAATAGAGAAACTACGTGATATATCATTCTTTACCTTTTACTTTATTCTCTGTTCCCCATGGTAACATGGGAAGATCATTTCTATTTCATTTTCTCTTCCCTTTCAAATAGTTGCCTAATAAGGAAGGAAGGAATAAAGGAAGGAAGGAAGGAAATAAAGAAGGAAGGATGGAGGGAGAGAAGATATGATGGAAGGAAAGAAAGTAGGGAAAGAAGGAGGGAAAAAAGAATGGAAATAAGGAGAGTAGAGGAAGTAAGAGGAGAGTAAAGTATAAAGAATGGAGAGAGGGAAGAAGCAAGGAAGAAAAAGAAGATGGGAGAGAAGAAAGAAAACCATGAGCTAAACATTTATAATAATTATTACATTTTTCTCCTACTTTAATCTTTTCCAAAATGGATAATATTCTTTCTCTGGACCCAAATATCTTCAATTAAAATGGGCTTTTCTATCAGAATTTAGAAAATAAGAGATAAAGAAAAGGGATAAATCCTAGAAATACTTAAGCATGATGAATAATCCCAATTCCCTTCAGAAATTTATAAAATTTCTAGAGCACAGCAAGCCTGTGGGACACTGAAATACTACTGGACTGAATTTTAAAGCAGTTCACCTGTAACCAGGAATGGGACATTTCATGGATCAATACTTAATAAGCACATGAAGCATGCTAAACATCATCCAACAGATACAAATCTAGGCCTGGCCTCGCCAGATTTTGCTCTGGTTTTTGGGTGAAAAAAATGTCAAGCTAAGGAAATAAAAGGGAGAGAAGACATCTTGGTATGGATAGACTTGATGGGATTCATGAAGTACATGGAAGCTAACTTGCATTATCCTCTGGAATAACTCATAGTCTACTATTTTAGGTTTATAGATGATACACGGTATTGCTGAAATATACAGACATGTTATTAAACCAAAGAGAAAAAAAAAAACTTCATTAGTAGAGTTCAGATCAGATCCATAGGCCAGAAATACTAACGATTTATCTATTTCATCATGTGGTTTCATTAAAATACCAAAGACATTTTGTTACTTCATGCCAGATGCCCCTCACTCCTTCAGCCTCACATCCCAAAAGACAACTTATCAATCCACCAAAATTTTACTCAAGACCAATCTCCTTAGTGAAAACGTCCCAGACTAATCTAAAAAGACAGGGTGGTTTCATGGGTAGTGCTGAATGGCACTGAATCAGCAAGTCCTGGATTCAAATACCAACTCTGATCCTTACCAGCTGTGCAACATTGAACAATTTACTTATCCTCAATTCCTTCATCAGTAAAATGAGAGAGTGGGAAGTTTGTTGCTAAGTTATTTCAGTCACGTCAGTTACAGCATCAGTGACACCATTTTGGTATTTTCTTGGCAGAGATACTGGAGTGGTTTACATTTGCCTTCTCCAGTTCATTTTACAGTGACTTGCCCAGGGTCACATAGCTAGTCAGTGTCTGAGGCCAGATTTGAACTCATGAAGATGAATCTTCCTGATTCTATGTCCAGTGCTCTATCCACTGTGCCACGTAGCTGGTGGAAATAAGTGATCTCTAAAACCCTTTCCAACTCTAAATCTATGATCTTATAATCTCATCTAGCCCTAATGAAGAATTCCAAACTCAACCATACTGACATTCAGAGTCCAGTCTATTTCCTCACTTACTTAAAACTGCTACATTGCAATTGATTAATTCTGTGTATGAGTCATACACACACATCACTTACACTTACGTATGCGTATGAATGATGCATCTCTTCCTTAGAAGGTAAGCTCCATATGGGCAAGAACTATTTTTATTTTCCTTTTGTATCTCTATCCTTATCGGCTCACTGTGCTTTCTACAAAGTGGGTGCTTAATAGATCTGTGTTGAATTGAATTCCTCTCCCCTGCCCAGCTGATTCAGAGCAACTGTCTTAAACCACCTGTATTCAAGTCTGTCTCTGCTCTGGTAATCCCCTCCATTTGAAAGGGTAGTCCATTTGGAATCAGTGATTACCCTGTCAAATCCCACATCTTCTATTTACTACTTGACCAAATGACTTTATATCTCTAAGTCTCAGTCTGTGCATCTGCAAAATGAGAAGTTTGGACCCATTGATCTCTAAGTTTCTTTCCATCCACCCTAATTTACGAGCTGTGCAATGTCACTCAACCCATTATAAGACTACATCTAAATTTCTCTGCCTTTTCCAGCTCACAGATCTGCTGGACAAGGTTTAATATGCTTCATGTGCTTATTAAGTATTGATCCCTGAAATGTCTCATTCCCGGTGACATGTCTGCTACTTTAAAATTCAATCCAGTCACATTTCAACGTGCCAAAGGATTGCTGCACTTTGGAAATTTTCTGAATTTCTGAAGGAAAGTGGGATTGTTTGTCATGCTTAAGTATTTCTGATTCATTCCTTTTCTTTATTTCTTGCTTTCTAAAATCTGACAGAAAAAAACCCTCATTTTAATTGCTACAATTACTGAACATTTTTTTAAAATGATATTGATTATTTTGTTTTTATAGCATCTACACTCAAGCCAAATGAGATGATATTTATAAAGCACTTAGCATAGTACATGGCAACCAAACAACCCAATAAATATTTGGTGCTCAGTCAATGCTTATCTCCTTCCCTTCGCTATACTTTTAAATGTCTCTCTCTCTTGTGTTCTAGACATGGTCACTGTTTTAGTCTCAGTCATGTCTGACTTTTCACGACCTCATTTGGGGTTTTCTTGGCAAAGATACCGGAGTAGTTTGCCATTTCCTCCTCCAGCTTGTTTTACAGAAGAGGAAACTGAGGCAAACAAGGTTAAGTGACTTTGCCCTGAGTCACACAGAGGCCAGATTTGAGCTCAGGAAGATAAATCTTTCCTACCCTAGGTCTGGCACTCTATCCACTGTGCCACCTAGTTGCCTCTTCTGTATAGGGATTGAACCCTTGTAACAAGGATTAGAAGAGAGAGGGGAAAAAACAGTTCAGTAAAATCATACAATATATCAATTACATCTCATAGTATATGTGATGTTCTGGCTATGTAGGCCCCCACCTATGTAAAGTGGTGAGGGAGGCAATGAATATATTCTCTAAACAATAAGATTTATTCACTATTTCTTTCAGTGTAAGAGGAAGAAAGAATAAATGCTTATTAGTTGGAAAAAACATTTAAAAAGAATTAATAAGTACATTTATTTCTTGTTATTTCCTGAGATAGTGTCCAGGAATATTTTGTTCCTGTGTTAAAAACCCACTCATTCCTAAGTGATAATATTAGCACGTGAAGAATTTCCACAGTTGCTGAGAGCCTACGGACTGGTTGTCTTTATTGTGTCAGGCTCTATTTTCCAATATTCCTGTATTGTTTTTTTGGGTTGACCTGTCAGTCTTTTTCATGACCCCAACTGGAGATTGAGTGGACCCAGAAGATGGTCAGCAAGAAGTGGGTCTTCTATGGGAAGACATTGACAAAAATCCCAGGGACTAAGAAATAAGCCACAGAGGGGGCTACAATCCACACCAGCAAAGAGTGGATCATCCGAAGAGTATGCCAATGGGACCAAGGACCCACAAAAATAGCAAAACAAAATATTCCAATCTGACAGAGCTGAGAAAGATACTTTGTTCTCATTCCTTATTCTGCACTTTATGGAATTCAGAAATTCAATTATATATCTGACCTTATATGTTCTATTTAGTGGAGAATCATCCTAAATGGTGGCTACTATTTCAAACACCACAACTTCATACCAATATTTATGGCATTTAAAGATTTTCACAACCTGGCCCCTTCCTACTTTTCCCATCTTTTGACAATTTATTCACCTCCACAAACTCTATGATCCATCTCTACTGTTCTACTGGCTGTTCCTTGAACACAACACTGCACCTCTCATTGCTAGGTATTTGTAAATGGCTGTCCCCTGTGCCCAGAATGCTCTTCCTCATCACTTCCTCATCTTAGTTTTTCTAGCTTCCTTCAAGATTCAGCTCCAATGCCACGTCTTCCTGTTGGTGGCCTTTCCTATTTCCTCCAGCTATTATGGTCTCCGAGATTACCTTTGGGTCACTCTGTGTAAGTCTCATGTTATTCTCATGTTGTCTTCTCCATTACTACATAAGATTCTTGAGCTCCTGGACTATTTTTTGTTTTTCTTTGTATCTCTGGCACTTAGTACAGTGCCTGGTACACAGAAAGTGTTGATTAAATGCTATTGACTAATTGACTCACTATATCCACATGACAATGGCATTTAAAGGACCTTCACTGTAGATAGATCAATATAAGCCAGGATTTCTAGATTTGGCAATCAGAGTACTGAAGATTATACGAAAATACAATATTAGCTTTAGCTTAACCGAATCACTTCTCTGCTCGATTGTCCAGGTTTTTGTCTGTTTGTTTGGTTTTGATTTTAGTCTTAGGAAAACTCCTGGTGTGAAAATTCACTCCATCATTACAGATAAATTCATGTAGCTAAGCATCAAGCATTTATTGAGCGCTTTGTGTGATAGACACTGTGCTATATTGAGAGTACACAAAAACAAGGCAAAAACAGTCGGCAGCCTCAAGGAACTCACAATCTAATTGGGTAGACAACATGTACAAAAATGGGTGCATATGCACACCCATGGTCCCTTAGCTAGACCATGCCCTGTTGGCTGCTTCGCTAAAGGGTGACAATTTGTAATCCACAGACTGAGATGAAAGGTGAACGCCTCTGGTCACATAGTCTGATTACGTCAGAGATACAACCTGAGTCCAGGTCTTCCTGATTCCGAAGCTGGCTCTTCATTAACCAATGGACAAAGTACCGGACCTGGAGTCAGGATGTCCTGAGTTCAAATTCAGCCTCAGATTCTTACTAACTGTATGACCCTGGGCAAGCCACTTAATCATAGTTTATTAAGTGTTTAATAAGTCATAAACAGTTACCTTATCTTTAAAATGAGATAATAATGGAGGCTACATTGCAGAATTCTATTTATAAAGCACAGTGCCTGGCACAATTATGTGCTTAATAAAGGACTGTTTGCTTCCTTCTTTCATACTACAGTGCCTCTAGTAGTTTTTCTACATTTAAATTTTGAGATGGGAAATCTACCCTCTGTCCTGACACTCAGGGGGCTAAAACTAAGCATTGCTAATCTATTATAATAATCTGTATATTCTGTAATTTGTATCTCAAAATGAATGAATAGTCCTTCAAACAAAACAATAAAATATATCTTTTACATTTCATTGTTCACATTTGTTGAGGAGCAGGGAGGGATGAGCATTTATTAAATGCCTGCTATATGCCAGGCACTATGCCAATATTTACAAATATCATTTCGTTTGATGCTCATAACACACCAGTGAGGTGGGTGCCATTATTACACTCTTTTTTATAGCACGCACATTTCATTTCTTTAAATACATTTTCATTTAGCCTCATAGCACAAGGGTTGTTTTTATTCTCTTTTGCTTAGTCTGCATTATTTTATCCTGGATAGTTTCTCATGATGAGATTATGTTAAGAAAGAAACACAGTGCTATTTTATGTTTATGTATCTTTATACACATATAGATATAAAATATCCAACTCCATTTAATGATATTTGGAGAGTAAAGTTTTGCCTCCCTTGTGAAGAGGGGTATCTTACCAGAAATTAATACATCATTTAAATGGTAGGAATTTTTAAAGCCTCTGAAATACAGGGATCCTTTATTAGCTTTTATAGCTGATGAATAAATAGGACACTTGAAGAAAACAATGATCTAATTTGCTATCATTTGCTAAAGAATGGAAAAAACAAACAAATCATAACAAGAACCCATTTTTCTGATATTTGGTTAAAACTTCCATCTCTATGTTTTTACTGCTTATCTCTCTGGTAAATTCATAAGGTCATAAACGGAGAGCTGAAGGAGATTGAGAGGTCATCTATCTAGTCCAACCATCTCATCTTACAGACAGGGAAACTGAGACTCAGAGATGTTAAGTGACCAGCCCAAGTTACACAGATACTAGATGTCACAGCCAGGATCCAAATCGAGGCTGCCTGACTCCGGAACTCGGACTTATTCCAAGCTCTTTGAATGGAAGGACAATTTCACTTTTCATCTTTGTATTTGTAGCCCCAAACACAGCATCTCTCGTGCACTTGGTGACGGCCCTTTGCCCCCTCACTTCGAGTGGGTGTTGTGTACTCACTTTCATTACAGAGGATGCCACCCCAGCCAGCCGGGCAGAGACAATGGCTCTTTTCCTCATTACATTTGCCTCTGTTCATGCAGTCCTCACACCTCAAACTGCAGTCGGGTCCAAAAGTGTCATCTAAACAGACTGGGAGGATTAAAATCAGATTAGTAAGCTCAAGAGTCTACTCCCCAAATAGCTAAAAAATTAATGAATCAACCAACAAGTATTTTAAAATGTCTACTCTAAGCCAGGAACTATGCTATCCAATAGAAAGGCAAAGTCCAAAAGAAAACCTCCCTTCCCCTCCAGGAGCTACATTCCATTGAAATATCCCTTGCCAAGTAGGTGAAACCCAAATATCTCTCTCCGTCAATAAACAGACATCTATTAGACTCTTATTATGTGCCAGGCACTGTGCAAAGCTCCAGGTATATGAAGAGATGCAAAATACAATCCCTGCCTTCAAGGAGCTTACATTCTAATGGATCCAGCTCCTCCTCTGATTCTAGACCATCTATTAACCTCAGAGGTTTATTATAGGCGAAGAAGTGCTTCTGAAACTTTAGATTATATTCAAGACTTTTAAAGAAAATGGCATTATATAAGAGTGACTGATATGGGTAATTTAGGAAAGGCTTATCTACATACATGCATACATACATACACACATGCACACATAGGTAGGTGGCACAATGGATAAAGTGCCAGGCCTCAAGTCAGGACGACTTATCTTCCTGAGTTCAAATCTGGCCTCAGACACTTACCAGTTGTGTGACTCTGGGCAAGTCATTTCACCTTATTTGCCTCAGTTTCTCAATTGTAAAATGAGCTGGAGAACAAAATGGCAAACCTCTCCAGTATCTTTGCCAAGAAAACTCCAAATGGGGTCATGAAGAGTCAGACATGACTGAAACACTTGAACAATCCAAGCAAATATATGTGTGTATACCCAGATATGTATGTAAGTACATGTGTATATACATATATCATATGAATTCACACATACATACATATATATATGTATGTGTCTGTATATGTGTATGTGTACATATGTGTACAGAGTTATGTAGGGTTTGGGGGAGAAGGAGATGATGAGTGGGAGCTCTAAGTATTTAAATTATCTGATATTAGGCTGTGAGCTTCTGGAGAGCAGGGATTGTCTTTCGCTTTTCTTTGTATCCCCATCACTTAGCACAATGCCTAGCACATAGTAGGCACTCATAGCTTATTGACCAACTGATATTACTTCATGTCTTTTTTTAATGTTGTATGTTTTTTTCTTATCTTGTGGATACAGCTTTAATTCCTTTATTTGTGGTACATAATTTATTTTTCAGAGTTTTAAGCGTTTCTGGAGGATTAAGGAAACCTACTACTCTGGCCGTCTTGCCCATTGATCTTAAGTGAATTTTGAAAAAAGAAAGAAAGAAAATAATGACTTTGAGGGGATTCTTTTCACTCACCCACTTTGTGTAAAACAGTGAGTTCTCCTCGAATATCTCTTTCCTCCAGTTCATCTTCATCTTCATAATTGGGATTTAACGCAATGGCATAATTAAGCAGTTGAGCAGATCTCCTAAAGTGAAGGTCTGGGAACCTCACAACTTCTAATTCCTCTTCTTCCTCCTCTAATTCGTCATCATCCAAAGCTAAAACCAAAGAGGAAAACGACTGCACACTCACATCCTTGCTATGGATGAGGCAATTCGGATGGCGGGGGGTGGGCATGGGTCTATGTGTGTAGAACTGGGCAAGAATGGATGAGAGAAACGAAGAGTCTGAACTATACACACAAGCAGGGGGTGGTGAAAAGGGAAAATTCTTTGAGCAAAGCCAATTCAAATAGACAATCACAAAGAAAGGTTAGAAGCCGGGAACACAAAGGTAAAACTGCTATAGAAAGAGGACAAAGAGAGGAAAAAATAGTTTTAGTGCAGAAAGAAGAAAGGTTTGAAGGATGGACTGAGGAAAGTAAATTGCATTCTTTCCCCTGGGCCCTTGGAAAGGAGAAAAAAATTCTAAATAGTTGAAATGTGATTAAAAAAAAAAAAGGAAATTCCCTCATAGGAACTTACGGATGCAAGTTTTTCTGTTACCATCAATTTGGTAACCTTCCTCACAGAGACATTCATAAGATCCCAAAGAATTAACACAGAGCTGGTCACAGTCAGTGCTGTCCTCCAGACACTCATCCACATCTAAGAAAAAGAGAGAACAGAAAGTATACTCTTGGGCGTTGACATAGGAAACCAGGCTTAGGGATTGAAAGGCACCGTGGTGTTCATTGTTCTGCCTTCCAGATGGTTCCCTGACACAAGGGAAAGCTAAGCTTTGTCCCAAGACCAGACCACCTTTCTCTGGCACAGACTGCTAATTCAGTCTTTAGCAACTTTGCAACTTTGCAAATTCATTGTTCCCATGGGGAGACAAACTTCCTGGGATCTCAGAACTAACTACTAGCTCTGATGAAGGTTTATAAAATGTATTCTACCAAAAAAAAAGAAGTCCCAGTCTGTGAAACACTTTGCAGAACATAAAATTGAATAGTTAATTAGGATAAGCTTTGCAGGACACAGTGTTGTAAGCTGCAGCTTTATTTCGTTAGTTGTTTTTTTTTTTTTTTAATTCAGAGGGCTGCCTTGACGTTATTAAGATCTGGATTTGAGTCTTTTCTCTGATATATGCTAACTAGCTTTGTGACTACTGACAAACTACTGAATCTTCTGATTGCCATCGTCTCTAAGACTAGAGATGAGATATGAGAAGCCAATCAGCAATGGTGGAAAGTGTTTGCACACCAGCGGTTTCTCCCCACACAAATGAAATCACAGGTCCAGATTCTTGCCCCACAAGTCATTCATTCATTAAAGAATCAAGAGAGATTCAAAAGAAGTAAATGACATGATCCTGCTGAGGGGCAAGCCTGTTGATCCAGGCCCCTTTTGGCAGGGGAGCACCAAGACAGAAATAGCTAAGGGTCACCGATGAATAGCCACTGGGAGAGTGCCTGACTCTAAAGGAATCGTCTCAGCTCCTGTGACCAGTGTACTCAAAGGTACCTGCGATGTTACTTTTAAGACTGGCTCCCTTTGTCTGTCTCGGTATAAAACCATTCAGCCCCTAAGATCTATGGGCTATCTAGGGTCAGGCTATTATTCTCCAGATAGAACTTCTCTGTTATATGGGCAGCCTCATTCCTCTAGGTCAGACCAAAACAAGGATCCTGAAATTAGAAAGGAGATACATCAAGGGATGGCAATGTTTTCTTGTAGCCTTCCTATAGGAACTAGCTTGTCATTTAGTAAACATTGTGATTGCTCAATTTGGTTTGAAGTTTTGTCTGGATTCCTTGAAATCACAAACCTGATTGGCACATGCCTTCAAGAGCTTATGGGTAAGATAACCAAAGATTCCCTGGAAGATTTAAATTCTTTTAATGTGAGAAATGAAAATCAGTGTAAAAGTCTGAGCTGGGACTTTGGGGAAGTCTGTCACCTATGCGAGGAGTAGCTTAGATGGGGACATGAGGCTAATCCTTTAAGATGGTCTTCAGAGAGCTGAAGCATTCCCAATTATAGTATATATATACCAGTGTGTACACGCATGGCTATGTAATCTTCCCTTTGGCTCATCTGTCTGATGAACAGATGGTCCATGAAATTCAGATTTTTAAGCCCCTAATTCACTGGACCCAATGTTTGGTTGGAATTTGGTCAATGCTAATATACGACGCCACATTTAGAATGTGCGCCTTTCAAAACAAAAAGTGTATTCTTTTATATCCCTTGCCTTTTTTTTTTCTTTTTGGTGTTTGGAGACTGGACAGCTCAGTTATATAAAGCAAAACATCTCAGTACCAAGAGAATTTAGGGATTCATTACACTGAATAAAGAAAAGCTATTTTCTCTGCAGCATTTGGGGCTTTTATATAATTTTAATTGTTATTGGTACAGATGTAGATCATCTAATCGTTATTTCAATTTCAAGAAAACTTCTATGATTCAAAATAATAGCAATAATAACCAAAAGATGAAAAACACCATCTCCTTTAATGCAAGCTTTCACAAATTAAAAAGGCAGCAACAATCCCCCAACAATGACTTACATAAGGTATTGGTAGTGAAATTAAAGAAAACTCAATTAACTTTACTCTATTCATTCAAATTCGTCTAAAATGTTCTCTTCCGATGCAATTTAGACATCATACAAGAGCAAAATGAGTTATTTTTACCAAATAGACATTAGAAAGCTATAAAACTAGCATTTCTTTAAAAAGCATTATTCATTTAAATATGGTATATGACAGAAAAGGAAGAGGGTGGGGTAGGAGTGAATCAATGTGAAGCAATGCACCAGGCTTGTGTTATGGGCCATAATAATAGCTGCTCACAGTTTTTAAATTTTTGCATAGTTTATGTGGCATCTGTCACCTTGCAATAGCCCAGGGATATAGGTAGTCCAGATATTATTATGCCCATTTTACAGATGAGGAAATTGAGGGAGGAAGGATGAAGTGATTTCCTCAACACCACATGGGCTTTGAGGTTCAGGATTGAAATTTCAATTCGGCTTTTCTTCTCTACCAAATTCAGCGCTCTTTCTACCATCAAAATAACTGTCATTTACATAGCTCTCTACAGTTTTCAAAGCACTTAACAGTATTGTTTTTGAGGATCAGAAAAAAAAAACAACCAACAACTTCGTGAGATCCTCACAATTAGTATTTTTATACCATTTCCCAGATGAGGAAACACAGGCTCAGAAAGCTAGTATCAGCCAAAGAATTTACATCTGGTGCTCTTGAGCTGACTCTAACCACGGTACAACCCTGGGTCTCTGTCGCCACGGTGCCTCCTCACTTCAGGCTGGCTCTACGGTAATGTAACTTTTGAATAACTGAAGATCAGATTGATAAACTACTTCTGAAGCCAAATATCCACTCACCAGTCTGGCTCATACCAGTGATTTCTCTAAGTTGTGACCTCTTGCATCGCATCAACCACACTTCTTTGCCTCCATTTTGCCAACATTCCTTTTATCAAGTCAAGTGAAAGGGATTATGGGTTACTGAGCAAGATATATCTCTTTCTCTCTCCACGTACCCACTATTGCTTATGGACACTACACCACTTAGACACAATCACTTGGAGACAAATCTCAGGTATTTACCATCACATCCACACCCATCGGGACTGAGCTGAAATCCTGTCTTGCAATCACATTCGTAACCTCCCAAATAGTTGATGCAGAGCTGGAAACAGCAGGCTTGCCCACTCTCACATTCATCAAGATCTGAAAAGGAAAAAAAAGGGGGGGGGCATTTCTGTTGTTTATCAGATAAACATTGAAATAAGTTGTAGAGTGATGGGCAGCCAGACCCTTTTATTAGACGGAATCATTGCAAAATAATTTCAATCTTTCTGATGTTCAGGTTGTATGGATACTCCCATCAGGGGAAAAGATCCCCTGTCTGAGCCTACATGGCTCAGACTACTCCCATACCTTGGACTTATTTGTTTGGGATTTAAATAATTTCATGCTTATTTTTAAACAGAAGAAAAAAGACCTTTCTGCCCTCTAGCTGATGGGACAACCTGATCTCTCTCTCTCTCTCTCTCTCTCTCTCTCTCTCTCTCTCTCTCTCTCTCTCTCTCTCTCTCTCTCACACACACACACACACACACACACACACACACACACACACACACACACACACACACACGACATTCTAACAACAAATAGTGGAAAAAAAATACAAAACAGGGATGATAGGATTCCAGGAGCATTTGGCAGCTGGAAAGAGGAGCTTGTCATGCCATTGGGTCCTAGGAGCAAAGGTCCTGAACTGGAAGGGATTCTGGAAGTTTTCTAGTCAAGCACTTTCATCTTAAGGGTAAGGAGACAGAGGCCTTTGGGGGTGAATAATGTGTACAAGGTCACATAGGTAGTAAGTATCAGGAACAGATTGGAACCCAGGTCCTCGGGCTCCAAAGCCACTGAGTTGAAAGCATCATTGATGAAGAGCTAGAAGGGAGATTAGAGATAATCTATTCCAAATCTTTCATTTTTGGATGAGGAAACTGAGGTACAGAGAATCCCAAGTTATGCAATTAGCAGGTGATAGAGCCTTGATTCAAACTTGAGTCCTCTGACTCAGCCTGCTGCTATTTCTATGTCACCTTGCTGCCTTTCCTCAGAAGAGGCAGAGCTGGGATTGGAACCCACAGCGGGGAATCCAGATCCGGTGCTCTTCCTGTTGACTTTTCAGATACTCATAACAGTCCTGATAGAATTGGTATTAGGACTAGTGTACCCTAAGGACTGAAAGAGCCAGCGGCACCAAGGAAGGAGGATGTAGCAACTGGGTCCCAAGAACATGAGATCCAGATCATTTGTTAGTCTGATTTCCTCTCAATAAACATGATTCCTATGACGCTTATATCAGACACTGTGGCTTAGTAGATAGAAGACTAATCTCAAAGCTGTGATGGCCCGGGTTCAAATCCTGCCTTTGGCACATATTTGTTGTGTGACTCTGAACAAATGACTTAACCCCTTATTATCTGAGGCAGTTCTTAGTCTGGAAGTTGCAGACCTGCTTGGTAGTGTCAATGAAATCCCAGGTGCAGTCCCTATCACAACTCCTATGGAAGGTACTTATAGGAACCATATATAATTTTCATGAAGCTCAATCCCCCTGCCTCTGGGACAGGTAAGGGTGGTGTTAACAGATGATGCCCAATTCAGTTCAATTTATCAATAAACATTTGTTTAGTTTCTACTGCATACAAAGCCCAATGCTCAGTGTTTGTTTTTTATTAAAGGGATTTGTGAAGGGAGCATATAGGAACCGAGATAAAAGAAGTGGAACAAGGCCTGCTCTTGTTTGTATGTTTCTGTTGTTTGGCCAGTTAACATCATCATGTGACCCAACCGATCCAGGGTTTGATTAGATCACGTATCTAGAACCCCAGGGCTCAGGCTGCTGTGGGGTTCTCTTAGCCCCGTAAGATACATGGCATGGTTCTTTGTCCTTCTGCTCAGGTAAACATCTTAATGTGATTGTCAAGTCTTTGGGAAGACAAATGCCAATAGAAGAAGGAGTTCTCCAAAGCGTGCCCTGGGCTATTTAGTATTTTTATCACTAACTTGGATGCCAGAGCATATATACCAAATTTGCACATGGCACCAATCTGGGTGCAATAGCGATAGCAATAGCTTGATGGCAAAGCCAGAATTGTAAAAGATCAGTAGAGACTAGAACACTGGGATGAATCTAATTAAAAGGAACCTTAATAGGGATAAATATAATCTTATATGGGTTAACAAGTCACCTTCATAAGTACAATAAGAGGGAGGCATGAGTAGACAGCAGATTGTCCGGGAGAAAAAAAAAAAGATCTGAGGATTTTCAGGGATGGCAAATTTAATTTGAGTCAACAGTGTGATGTGGCAGCAAAGAAATCTTAGGTGATTCTTAGACTGCATTAAGAGAGGGATAGCTTTCAGTGATGAAAAGGTCAGCATCCCACTGTCCTCTGTCCTGGTCAGAACACATCAGGAAGAGTGTTCACCTGTAGGCAATATATTTTTTATAAAGACATTCAAAAGCTAAAGAATGCCAACAAAAGGGTGATCAGGAAGATGAAGAGTCTAAAACTCATATTTTCTTAGTTATGGGTGAAAAGATGGAGATTTTTTTGTCTGCACAGGAAAAGAAAAGACTTAGGGGTTAGTTCATGACTATATTCAAACAACTGAAGGGCTGCCATGCAGAAGAGAGATGAGTTATGCTTCTGCCTAGCCTTGAAGGGCAGAACTAGGACCAGTGGGTGTCAGCATAATGAAGAAATTAAAAGGTTTAACTTAGAATCTGGCAAGATCTGGGTTCAAATCTTCCCTCTGATGCTTACTAGTGACCCTGGATAAGTGATTTAGCCAATCTGGGCCTCAGTTTCCTCATCTGTAAAATGAAGAAGGTTGCACTTGAAGATTTGTGAGGTCCTTTTTAGCTCTAAATCTAAATTCAAAAGATTGAACTTAAGTAAGAGAAAAAAATTCTTAACAATTAGCATTGTCCAAAATTGAAATGGGCTACCTCAGGTGGCAGTGAAGTTTCCATCACTGGTCAATAAGTTAAGATTGGATGACCATTTGTATAGATATTGTAGTGGGTATTTTTGAGATAGCGTCTTAGGTTGGATCCAAGGATTTGAAAGTTTTTTTGTTTGATTGGGTTTTTTTTTTTAATTTGTTTATTTGGCTATGAATCATTTCCCTAGCAGGTTTAGGGAAAATAGAAATTTAAGACAAACCTGGTTACCAAGTTCATTCTATCTCATATTACCAACAAGGAAGTGGCTGTTTCACAAGATGAGTCATAGAGCCAAGATTTGAACCAAAGTCTCCTGACTTAAGCCTCTGCTCTTCCCATTATCCCAGCCTACAAGCATCAAAAAGTAAAGCATTTATTCAAGGAGTGCTTTGTTCATGTTAGGCTTTTGAGACCAGTGATGAGAGGTACATGGGTAATTTCCAAGAATGCACTATAGTCATTTTACTCCCAGCTCTCCTGAGATTGGAGAAATATTTGCTTGTTACCAGGGTGTCTGGATTCAAGACCTTGGCTCCCTTGGACCTCGTTGAGCTATTAGGCTGGGGGTGGACTGTCAGTGCTGAGTTTACAAAATCTTTTTGAATGTTAACTAGACGAACAACCATAGATGTAAAAGGTCACTCTCGCAATTAACCTTGAAAAGGGTACCGACTTTAGAAAACTCAGGAAGAGAAAGGAAAGGAAGAAAATGAAATCAATCAATCCAGGTTAGGGGTCACCATGAAATTGATTAATGTGGGTCATTTGGACACAAAATGTTCTTTCTCCTTCAAATGTCACCAGTGGGGCTACCTTGCAATATTTTAGATGTGATCTATTTCCTAGCTGGTATTTAATCTTGATGAGTTGTTGGGGGACAAGAAGTAAAAACCTCTCATCATTTTTTTTCCTATTTCAACTCCAACCCCATTATATCCTCTTTTATTACCCACTTGAGCACTGAGATGTTTTCTTTGCCATCTTCTTAATTACCCTCAGATCATCACACATTTATGATGAAGGTTTCTCCCTTCTCAGGTGTACAAAGGAGATCAGTTCCTTCATCAAATTAGAAAACAATGTACTTGATCTGATCTTCACTGATCCAGTTCTGACTCATCACAAGGCTGAAATTTGTCAACATGTCCAAAACATCATGATTATCTTCCAGCCAAAGTTTCCAGCCTCCTAGACTCGGAACCTTAATGATATACTTAAATCCTCCCTCCACCTCACCCACATGGCCAATTGGTTGCCAAATCTTACTGTTCTTCCCTTCACCAAATCTGTTTTGTCATTCCCTTTCTGTACACTTTCTCATGGCCATACACTATTTCAGGCCCTCATCACTTCTCACCTGAACTATTTCAATGACATCCTAAATGATGTCCCTGACTCAATTCTCTTTGCCTCTAGTCCATCCTCCACACTGCTACCACAGTGATTTTCCTTAAGCCCAACTCTGATCATATCACCCTCTACTCGATAGATTCCGGCGGCTCCCTCTTATCTCCATGATTTTATACAACCTCCTCCTTGATTTTCAAAGCCCTTTGCACTTAGTTCCAAGTTATCTTTCCAGACTTATCATAAAGTACTTCTCTTCCCACATTCTCTACACACTGTACCAAACTGACAATGTGATGTTTCTCATACATCGGTTTCTATCTCCTGTCTCTGTGCCTCATACTTCATGCTTGAGATACATTTCCTTCTTGCCTCCAACTCTGCTTTCATGAAGCAGCTTAAGCACCCCCTTTAACATGATGACTTTCCAGATCACCCCAACACCTCGTGTGGGCCTTCCCTATTCAGGGAAGTATTCATTTTAGAGTTCTGCTCTATTTACTCGTATATGTCCATGTCTCTGAAGATAAAATGCAAGGCACCTATAGAGCTGCGATTGTTTCCTTTTTGATATTGTATTCATAGTGTCTAGCCCAGTCCATGGCAGATTGATAAAAAGATAGAACATTTATGAAGCACTTAGTGGGTGTCAGGAACTTTTTGAAGTATACAATAGGTGCTTAAAAGTCTTAGTTGAATTATTTTGTTTTTATGTTTCCTATATTTCCCAATTTATCCTTTTCCCCTTCCCCATTTAGAAAGCCTACTTTATAATAACAACAAAAAAGAAAAGGAAAAGAACATTCATTAAAACTAACCAATATAGGAATCAAACCCAACAATCTGTGCAATGTGCCACAACCATGGCATACCACCACTGCACAGAAGGGAGGGAAGGAAGCACATGCCTGTCTTTTTTGGGGCCAAACTTGACCACTACAATTACACAGCATTCACTTCAGATTGTATTTATATTGTTCTTGGTATATTGTGCTTCCGTTATTCAAATCTTTGTGGCAGTTAAATGTCTCAGTTGGACAGAAAACTGTAGGATCTTAGAATCAGGAAAACCTGAGTTCAAATCCTGACACAGGGACCCATAAGTTGTGTGACTCTGGGCAAGTCACTTAAACTCTACCAGCCTCAGTTTCCTCTATTGTAAAATGGGATGGTAATAATAATGCTTAGCTCACAGAATTATTCGAAGGATCAAATTAGAAAACAACATGTGAAGAGCTTTGCAAAAGTTAAAATGCTATATTCATATTAACTGTTACCATGTTTCCCCATTTATGATTACTTTACCTTGTATCACTTCATATGACCCTTCTCAGTATTCCTGATATTTTATTCATCATAATAAAGAAACACATCAATATTCCATATATTGTTGGGTCTTTTTTTTTAGCCATCTCTCAATCGATGGGGCTCTACTTTTTTCTGACTATTTGCTTCTACAAAAGGGCTTATTGTTAAATATTTTGGTTTATATGAAACTTCTTTTTTTACCATGAATTTCTTTGGTTTATCTGCATGACAGTGACATCTCTGGGTCTTTCTTAGCATCATTCCAACTTGTTAGACAAAGATCTAATATTAGTGTCTCATAAATATCTTGAAAAGCATGGGTTCTTAGACCCTTTTAGTCATGGACCCTTTTGGCAATCTGGACTGCTTTTCAGAATAATATTTCTAAATGTAAAAATAAAATAGATTGCAAAGGAAGCCAATCATATTGAAATACAGTTATTAAAATATATTTTAAACAGTTCATAGACTCTAGATTAAGAACCCCTGTAATCTAAAGGGTCATTAATGTATTGTTTGTCAAAGGTCAATGGAAACTTGCTGTTTGCATTACTATTAGCTCTCCCCTTTCCCCTCCTTTGTAACTATATTTCAATTTGTTCTAAATGACCTTAGTTGGTCTGGCAATTGGCTAAGACTGCCCTGGCGGTTTGCAGATCTGCTGGCTCATTTTCACACGTATTTATGTATTGTTTGCCATGTATGATTACCTATAGACACACACTTCAAAAGCATTTAATACTGAAAGAGGCTAAAAGGAAAATTCTTAATATTACTTTCTGCATGAGCATTTGCAGAAAACATCTGTGGCCTTAACCTATTTTCAGACAAATAAGCAAAGTGTGTACACTTCAAACTAATCATTGCATTTACTTTAATGAATGTTTGGGCTTTGGATATGGGTGGTATTTGTTCTCGGAAAATGAAATAAACTTGAGTAATAAACAATACAACTTTGTTGTGTTGACTGTTGAAATCTCATAAATATGCAATTTCTGCATTTTGACCCTGGCGGATGCTAGTTTTCCTAGCAGCAAATAAGAGCTTTACTGAACTCTACTTTCCAAAGTTCAGTGAGACTCCAAGCCAAGTAGTAGGTTTTTATTTTGTTTTGTTTTGTTTTGTTTTGTTTTTTGTTAGGCAATGGGGTTAAGTGACTTGCCCAGGGTCACATAGCTAGTAAATATTATGTGTCTGAGACCCAATTTGAACTTCAGGTCCTCCTAAATCCAGGGCCGGTGCTCTATCCACTGCACCACCTAGCTGCCCCATTTTTTTTTCAAGTAGTAGGTTTTAGAGAATCAGCTTCACCAAGGTCAAATTTAGTGTGACTGATAGCAAAAGGGGAACAAAACAGAAAGGAGAATTTGCATGTTTAATAATATCTGTATTATTGTATCTGTAATATTATGTAATATAATAATATCTGTAAATTATGCACTTCCAAATGTGTGGCGGTTAGGATGCTTAACTTGGGAGGTAGATATACCTGGGTTCAAATCCTGGTTCTTCTATTTCCTAGTTCTACTGTTTACTAGTGGGTAAATCATTTAATCTCCATGTGCTTCAAGACAACTCATTACGTCTCACTACTGTCAATCAGTCAATCAACCAACAAGCATTTATTAGGCACTAACTGCATGCCAGGCACCATGGTAGGCCCTGGAGGTATGCAACAAAAATTAAATAGTTCCTGTTCTCAAAGTGATTATATGCTATTGGGAGGAGGCAGAGACATCTATATATATACATATATACAATGAAAATGCGAGACCCTTAGAAAACATAGATGGGTTGTTGTGCTTGAAATTCATTGCTGTACTCAATTTGAACAGTAATTCTCTCAGGTAGGCAAGACAGGTAGAGGGTCATAGGATGATTGATTTAGAGCTGAAGGAAATGGTAGAGACCACAAAGTCCAACCTTCCCATTTTACAGGTGAGGAAAATAAGGCCAAGACAGAATAAGTTACTTGTCTAGATCTTTCTTATTGTAGACTCTATCCGCTGCACCATTTAGCCGCTTTACTATCGCCATTTTATACGTAAAGAAACTGAGACCCAAGCATGTTAGGCATACTGAACCTTTTGATATACTACAATACTACCTACAATGTAGGATTATGATGCAACAGCACTTTTATGATCAGAAAACTTCTGAAACTAGTGTAAAGCAAAACTCTCTCACATAGAATAAAATTTCATCCAAATGCTAAACACACAAATCTTCCACTTCAGAAAAGTGATTATCAACTATAACTTAGTTGTTTCCAAATTTATCATATAGTGGTCATGATATTTAAAAAGAAACATTCAAAATAAATTTTGTTTCCAATTCAATTAAGTATAAAAAATGTCATGTGGTGCTTTTGAATTTTGTGTGTGGATAGTAGTAATGGTTGGGGGCAGCTAGGTGACACAGTGGATAGAGTGCATGGCCTGGAGTCAGGAAGACTCATCTTCCTGAGTTCAAATGTGGCCTTAGATGCTTACTAGTTGTGTGACCCTGGGCAAGTCACTTAACCCTGTTTGCCTCAGTTTTCCCATCTGTAAAATAAGCTGGAGAAGGAAATGGCAAAACATTTAGTATCTCTGCCAAGAGAATCCCAAATGGGGTCACAAAGAGTCAGACATGACTAAAATGACTGCACAATGAGTAGTAATGGTGGAAATAGGAGGGAGGGCATCGGGATAATAAGCCAGCAAGAATACAGTCTGATGATACTATGATTAAGGACTGTTTTTAGGGTTATGGACATTCTTTCCTAGGTGGGACTGGAGCTGAGACTAACCTGGTTCATCAACTTTATCATTTCCCACACACAGTAGAAATCTGTTCCTCTCAGTAGCACTAGACAGCATATTTCATCCCTCAAGCATGCTTACAGTAGAATTTCCTTTCCTCACGTCAGCTATCCTTGAGTTGTCTCAAATTATATCATTTCTGGTAATACTTGAGGAGTCTTTCCTATTGAAAGCAACACTGACATACGGAGAGAGGGAGAGAGCGGAGAAGAATACTTCTATAAATGTCCTCCATTGGAGCACAGCTGTCCTCCATAGCAAAGCTGAAAGTCTATAGCAGGCCATTAACCAGCTGAGGAGCCATGCTTAGCTGAGTCCCTATTATCTGATATATTAGTGTCATGGAGTTGTTGAATATGTGAGAGCTGGAAGGAGCCTTAGATAACATCTAGCACAGCTCCCACATTTTACTGGTAAGGAAATTGGGGCTCCGAGCACTGATATGAGTTGCCCAAGGTTATAGAACTAGTTAACAAGGAAGCTAAGACTAGAACCCAGGTCTCACAATTTATTTGGTATTTGGCTCACACATGATATTGATTTGTTCAAACTTTTGGAACTTTTTGATTCTATGTGCTTAGGACAGATTTGTTCACTTTATAAAAACAAATTCCCTTCAAATTAAGAATCTGATCATTAATTAAACTTCCTTCTGGTCGGGTTGACTTTCTTATGCATTCAACCAGTAGCCAGAGCTTTTATTCAATCCACTCACCTTTGCAGCTAGAATGACGCAGGGCATAGTACAGTGGTATGTAATAAGGGATGGAAAGGACAAATGAATTCAGAGCAACTTCAAAATGAAGATGGTGTTTGCCATAGATTACCTTTGCATGTTTTTCCATCCACATCAAGACGGTGTCCATGGTTACAAGAACAACGAGGCCCACCAGTTGAGTGCTCACAGTGATGAGAGCAGCCCCCATTGTTCTGCTCACAGCTATTGACAATTTCCATTTCAATCCCTTAGAGGAAACAAAGAAAAGAGTGTTTTCAGCATAACAACAGAGTAACCCAAGTAGACTTCAGCAACACATGGGGTGCCCACTCCCTGTTGGGAGGAAGACATGAAAACTTTGGTGGGGAAAAAAGTAACATGACAGTACCCGGAAAAGTAGAAGCCCAAGAACGATTTGACATTGAGGTCATCTCCAATGGGACTGGCACAGGTACTGTAAACTCTTGAAACTCATCTCTGTGGACCAAGGGCTACAGAAATTTCAGAATCTCAAGGAAAGAAGCAAATGTGGCATTTGCAATATTAATAGCACTCTATCAAAATGTAGGTAGGATCAAATTTATAAACATATGTAAAGTGTTTTGAAAACCTCAGTTCTAGCTATTATTATAATTATCATCATCATTATCACAATGATTATGATAATAATTACTATCAATGCCTCAGTTGTTTCTGAATGGCCCTAAAACGTTTTTTGCACTTGGGTAACGCTGATCAGCCAATCAGCCAGCCTGTTTCTCCACATAAATAATGACAAGTATTTCTGCATGACTTCAAAGGGCCCTGTTTTCATTGGAATGAGTATTCCTTATCCCAGTGCAGTCTGTGATTCCTCTGACTTCATGGATAACACTTGAATCACAGAATCTCAGAACTGAAAAGGACATAAGTGTCTAACTAGTCCAACCTGTACCTGAACATGAGTCTATTCCATAACATAGCCAATGATTAAGTGGTCATGTAGACTTTGCTGAAAGACTTGCATTGAACGGGGAACCTGCCACTTCCAGAGGTAGCGCAGTCCAGAAAGGGGGAAAGCTTTGATTATGAAGTTTGTTTTTACACGAAGACGTGATTTTGCCATCTTCTACTGCTTTTAGCTCTGCCTGAAAGAACAAGGCTGATCCCTCTTCTCCAAGAGCACCATCTTTCAAACATCTAAAGTAAACTATCAGTCCTCCCCAATGCCCCACCCCCTCTCTTCTACAGACTAAGTAGGGCCAGTTTCATCATTCTTCCTCAGATAGCATGAATTCAAGGCTCTTTAGGCAGCTAGGTGATACAGTGGATAGAGGGCTATGACATGGAGTCACAAAGAGTTGAGGTTGAAGATGACCTCAGATATTTACTGTCTGTGTGACCCTGAATGAGTCATTTAAACTTTGTCTCAGCTTTCTCATCTGTAAAATGGGAATAATGATAGGATCTAATTCCCCAAGATTGTGGTGAGGATAAAATGAGATAATATTTGTAAAGTGCTATATAAATCTTCCTTCCTTTTTTCCTTCTTCCCTCCTTTTTTCATCATTTCTTTCTTCCTTCCTTCCTTCCTTTCCTCCTCCCACTCTCCTCCTCCTTCTCCTCCTCCTCTTTTTCTTCATTATTTAGAATTCTGGTTGCACTCCTCTTTATATTTTCCAGCCTTTAAATATTTTCTCTAAAATGTGGTACCCAGAACTGGACAACACACTTTTAGTGTAACATGACAAGGTCAGACTCCAGAAGGACAATCACCAACTCTTACGCACAAGTTATACCTTGAGATTGCCTGTTGCAAAACAATTAAGTAGCTTGCTGCAGATGAGACGATAAGCCAAGGCAGCTCCTTGGATGGTCAATGTACAGATCACCTTAGATCTTATGGATCTAAGGACTTTATAAAGATCATGTAGGCAGTTCAACCCACCCCCCTTCCCACACACACACTACACACGCATTTTATAGTTGAACAAAATGAAGTCCAGAAAGCTGAAGAAAATTGTCCCAAATCACACACAGAATAAGTGGCAGAGGTGTGATTTAAGTTGATGTATTTTGAATGCAAATCAGGTGCTCTTTCCAGAAGTCTGCCCACTCTCTTGGGGAAATAATCCATTAAGTGACAAAGTTCTAAGTTTTGTGATTATAAATAAAGAATGCAGAAATATTAACCACCAATTAAACCACTCAGCCAGCACTCATTCTTCACTTACAGTGGGTGGAACTTTCTCTAAATTGTTTTTTGTTCTTAGGGTGCTCAGCCCTTTTAATCTATGACTTCTAAGCCATCTTGGGGGGAGGCAGAGAACAAGTGTGTGAATATGTGTGGTGTGAGAGACAGAACAGTGGGAGAGGGAAGAGAGAAGATGATGAGGGAAGATACAGAATAGATGAGAAAGATAGGATTTATGAGAGGATTTGAAGAGGGAGAGGTAGTGAGAGAGAGAGATGAAAGCATAGGAAATGTAAAAAGAGAAGAATGAGAAAAAGGATGAGAGACAGAACAGATAAGAAACATAAAATATGTGAGAGAATCTGAGAGAGAAGATGAAAGGAAGGAAATGGAAAAGGAGATTAGAGTTTGAGAAAGGGAGACAAAGTGTATGAGAAATATAGGATATAGGAGAGGGAGGGAGGTTAGGAAGGAGAGGAGGGAGAAGAAGAGGAAAGAAAAATGGAGAGGGAGAGGAGATAAGACTTATAGAAAGATTGCGGGTGTGACTACCTACAGAGGCTATGTTTTGACCAACAGTCTTCCCCAATCTACGGCATAGTGATACGCTTTATAATAGGATTTTACTGTACTTGATAAATTCTTAACTTAGCTTTTGAGACTCAGGGAGGAAAAAGTCTATCAGTCTGAAAACATTTATCCTAGATTCCTGCATCACTCTCGTGATCCAGCAGATGCCACTGGGCATCAGAGTAGTGTCAGGGTGATACAGGTATTTCCAATTTTTATGTCAGCTTTTGGACTGGACTAAATCTTGGAATACATAGAAACAGTCTGTGGAAAGAAGCTGAAATTCTGAGTCTCTAAGAACAAAAGCAAACCATTTTCTTTGTTGATTTTTAAACTTAAGTGAACAAATTAAAATATGATTTCTCAGATTTTAAATAAATATCTGATGTTAAAAGTATCATCTAATAGAAAGAAGAGAGAGGAACCAAGAAATATAGGTTGGTGGAGGCCTTAACACTACTGATTGGTGTGTAACCTGGGGCTATATCATTTGGCTTAACCTCACTTGATTGGATTTTCCCATCTGTAAACCAGGGCAGTAAAGAGGATTCTGTAGGCAGGTACTTCAAGGCCCTATGAGAAAAATTATGTAAATAGAAGAAATTGTTCTCCAAGGAAAGAAATAAAACAGCGTATTTGTGTGAGGAATAAGAAAAAAAAAAAGGCATCCACCAGTGCTCTTGTTTTATGAATGAAGGATCATTCATTGTTAAACACCTCCATGAACTGGGAAAAAAAAAAAAAAACATTCACTTATTGCACAGCCTCCAAAACAACTTAAAACATTAATGTTTTGCTGAGAATGAACTGTGTATCACTTTTTGAAAACATCCAGGTCTGGGGGAGGGACTAGAGAGAAGAATAAGTCAATTATTCACATAAGGAAAAGAATTATAAAAATACATTACGCACAAAATGTATTCAACTCTAGGGGAAAGTGCTTTCCCAAGTAAATTCCATAGCAATCCTGTACCTAGTAACTCATTAGCAATAACTGTCTCCTTCTTCACAATAATAGGTCATGCTTTACTCCCTGAGAGTGTACCAGTCAGACTGCAAAAGACTTTATTTCTCATATTTGTAAAATGCACCCATCCCCTAAGCCTCTGGCTATATTAAAAAAAAAAAAAGAAAACCCAAACATTAATAAGTAAGAAAAATCAGTTCACATTCTCCCAGTGCCTGAGAGGATTCCCCTGGGGCATTCAGAGAAAGATGAACTTCAGGAGATGTAGAATCCTAATTAGCACTTAATTCTCCTCTCCTATCTAATTTATCTAGGCCTACTGTGTAAGAGGCTAATGTCATCACATAGCAAAACTGGGCTAGTTTTAAGAGTCAGGCCCATATCGCCAGGCCTCAAAGCTACCCTGGCAAATCACTCCTTAATAAAGCAGCTCCAGAGTTCTATCACAGAGGGGAGATTTATTCCGCTAGGTCTTGCTCTACGTGGTTCTAGAGATGTCTCCCAGATCTGTGATTTTGGGGATGCAGCATTTTAGCATTATTCAAGGATGAATAAGAATGTGGAGCTTTGACCTGGGTCCTGGTACACACACACACATACACGCGCATCTCAGTGCTCAGACAAGTGAAGATATTTACAAGTGGTTATTTGCTCAATGTTTCAAAACTAAGTATATGGTGACTTCAGCATGCTGTGTCCCTCTTCCTGAGATCATTCAGCAGGCAATTATTAGGTGCCTACCAAGTCTCCAGCATTGTGCTAGTCTCTGAAGATACACATATAAAAATAAAACTGTCCTTCCCCTCAAGTTTACATTCTAAAGGGAAAGGGTAGATAGTGGGAAGAATGTTATTTTTTGGAAGCAACGGACTTGGAACAAGCTCAACATGACCCAAACTGAGCTCGTCATCTTTTGCCCAATCTCTCCTCTCTTCCTTACCTCATCGATTACTATCAAGGGCACCACCATCATCCAGACACCCAAGTTTACAACCTAAATGTCATCTGCTGCTGTTTTTCTCTTCTCTCACTTTCCTGGCTTTCTCTCTCACTTTTTCTTTCTCTCTTCTCTATTTCTTACTTTCTCTCTCTTCTCTTTCTTTCTCTCACTTTCTCTCCTTTCTTTGTCACTTTTTCTTTCTCTCTTCTCTCTCCTCTCTTTCTCTCTCTTCTCTCTCTCTCACATGCACACATATGTACACACACACACACACACATACACACCACCTCTCCTCTATTATAGTCAGTTACCAAATCCTATCATTTTTACCTCCATCACATCTCTAGTCGATTCCCCTTCTTTCCTTCTGGTCTTGCCACCCCCCCCCCCACCAGGGGAAGCCCTCATCATCTTACATCTGGTCTATTGCAACAGCTTTTGAGTGAGTCTCCTACCTCAAGGCTCTCCCATTCTGGTCTGATTTTCTAGTGCCTGGCATCTCTTGATTACCCCCACTTTAATCTGTGTATATCTTGTTTGTTTGTAACTGTTCGCATGGTGTCTCTCTCATTGGGCTGTGGGCTCTTTGAGAGCACA